TGCCATGTAGGGCTTTAAAGATGATAACCAACACCTTGAATTGGACCCGGAAGCAAACTGGGACCCAATGCAGCTCACGCAGCAGGTGTGTGCCACGTGCCATTTTTGGGGCACCCAAAATTGTCTGTGCATCTGCATTTTGAACCGGCTGTAGCTTCCAGATACTTTTCAAGGGTAGCCCCATGTTGAGCGCATTGCAATAGTCTGTATGGGAGATGACTTGGGCATGAGTGACTGATTGGAGGGACTCCTGATCCAGGAAAGGGCATAACTGGCACACAACATGTAGTTGAGTAAAGGCCCTCCTGGCCACAACTGCTACAACTCTTTGAGCAGGAGTCGTGAGTCCCGGAGGACCCCCAGATTATGCACTGGGTCTGTCTGGGGTAATGCCACCCCATCCAGAACCAAAGATGGTAAACTTCTGGATACAGAGGAGCCCCCAACCCACAGCCATTCCATCTTACCAGGGTTCAGCTGAAGCCTGTTGTCCCCTATCCAGACCCCCACAGCCTCCAGGCACTGCGAAAGAGTAATCACAGCATCACTCAGATCACAGATCGCTGAGAGGTCAAGAAGAGCAAGGATTGATGCACTACTCCCATCCCACTCCTGCCAGAGATCATCCAAAAGTGTGACCAATGCTGCTTCAGTCCCAAATCCAGGCCTGAAACCCGACTGAAAAGGGTCCAGATAATCCGTTTCATCCAGGATCCTCTGAACTGCAACGCCACCACTTTCTCAACCACCTAAAAAGGGGAGGTGAGAGACTGGATGAAAATTGTCCAGTATGGTGGGATCCAGTGATGGTTTCCTGATGAGGGGGTGTACCAGTGCCTCTTTAAAGGCCGCTGGAAATACTCCCTCTCTCAAGGATGAATTCACCATTCCCTGGACCTACCCACATGTCACCTCCCGAGCTGCCTTAACCAGCCAGGAAGGCCATGGATCTAATTGACAGGTGGTGGCATTTACAGCCCGGGGGACCCTGTCCACTTCCTCAGGTCCAACAGGATCAAACTGTTCCCAGATAACAGGGTAGGTATGTATCCCAGGCATCTCCACAGGCCATGCCACATGCTTGGTATCCAACTGGGAACGTATCTGAGTGATTTTATCCTCCAGATGCCCAGAAAACTCCTCTGTGCAGCCCTGTAGGTGGGTCATTGGGCCCACCTTTCCCAGAAGAGATTAGGTGATCTTAAACAGGGCTGCTGGGCAGCATTCTGCAGATGCAATAAGAGCGGAGGAGTTTGGGCATTTTGCCGCTCTTACCGCCACAAGGTAGGCCTTAATAGTGGCTCTAGCCTGTGTTCGTTTGGATTTGGTCCCTGTTTCCTCCAGTGGTGCTCTAGATGTCTCTTAATCCTTTTCAGAATCCTCAACTCCTCTGTAAACCATGGGGAGTATCAGGCTCAATGGGTCAAGAGAGGTTGCACAGGCGTGGTCTTGTCCAAGGCCTCAGCCACCTTCCTATTCCAGGTGGCAGCCAGGGTCTCCACTGGACCATGCAGCAGATCCTTGGGTATAGTCCCCAGCTCCCTCTGGAACCCCAATGGCTCCATCAGTCACCAGGGACAGACCAATTGAATGGGTCCTGCCTCCCTGCAGAGTGGGGTAGCATAGGAGAATCTCAAGGCCACCAGGGCATGATCGGACCATGACAGGGGACAGATATAATTCCCCCTTCAGATCACATTGCCACTGCTCCAAGAAAACCAGGTCCGGTGTGAGGCACTGTCCCGAGTCGGGTTGTGAATAATCTGGGACAGGCCCATGGCCGCCATGGTGGCTATGAACTCCCGGGCTGCCTCCGAGGCAGATCCCAGGGATAGCATATTGAAGTCCCCCAGAACCATAAGTCTGAGGAACTCCCACCAGCCCCGAGACTGCCTCCAGGCAGGGAGGTTGCTACGCAGCAGGGAGGCTGGTACTGTAGCAACAATCCCAACTGTTCTCGTGAGCCCAACTTCTCACAACTGGCCACTTGTGGAGCAGTGCCCCTTGAGGCCAACATAGACTCCCAGGTGACAACCACTACCCCTCCTCCCCTTCCCTGGGGTCTCGGCTGGTGCAAAACCGTAAACCTGGCTGGGCACATTTCTGAAAGGGGCCAGCAGGTCTCAGTGATACATGCCAGGTCGGCCCACTTGTGATCAGATCACATATAAGGCGGGCCTTGTTGTTAACCAACCTGGCATTAAGAAGCAGCAGCTGAAAGCCAGGGCTGCCATGGATCTGCTGTCCAGGGCCTGGGTCTGAGTACAGTGGGCTGGAACATGCCACCAGTAACAAAGATCAGGGGCGCCTTCCCCGAGAGCGGCCCTCCCTCTGACTCCCATCATAACATCCCCTGCCCATCACCACCTGAATAGAGTAACCCACCCCAACTTCCCCAGAGCCCAAATGGCTGATTTGTTGCTGTATTCATAGTATGCCCAGGTACTGCAGATCTCATTCACTGAGATCAAGTTGGAATCAAGGGGTAAAATGGATGCCCTAAGCCCCCTAACCCATCAAAAAAAGTCCAAAGACTTTGGTCCCATCCATTCTAGGACTTTTCTAGGGATGTTCTAGGACCTACAAAATGGGTGCTGTGGGGTACAAGTGGTCTGTGTATTGTCTATCTTTGTTTTACAGAATCTGTGGAATCACAAGCATCCCAAGATAGTTGCCAAGAATCCCTTAGTACAGTAGTTTATATAGCACTCCCTTTTCTAACCAAATAGATACTTAAAAGAAAGTTGAAGGGGCACAGAGATTATTTATTTATTTATTTAAATTTATTGGCTGCCCAACTCCAGTGGACTCTGGGCAAGGTACAAAACTAAAAAAAACATAAAAACAGTGAGAGATATTAAATTAACAGTGAGCCCAGACTAAAATATTCTGCTAATAAACTCACGAAACAAAATAGGGGCCATTAAACAATGACAAACTTCAACCCCAGGCCTGAGGCCAGAACCAGGTTTACAAGGTTTTCCGAAACCCCAGGAGAGAGGGTGCCATCCTTATCTCTGGGGGGATGCTGTTCCAGAGGGTGGGGGCTACAGCAGAGAAGGCATGCTTCCTAGGCCCCACAAGATGGCAATGTTTAATGGAGGGGACCTGGAGCACACCCACTCTGGAAAGTACTCCAATCGTTTCTGCCCACCCAGTGCGCACCCGCTCTGGAAAGCACTGGGCGGGCAGAAACGATTGGAGATAAGCGGTCTCTCAGATATCCAGGCCCTGTGCCATACAATATGCAATACACATTATGCACAGAGAGCTAAAAAATGTAACAGTGCTTATATATCCTGCCCTGTATATAGGGCTGCTGGATGTTTCATATTCATAGCCATTTTTGCCCCTTAAGAAAAACTATGTGCAGTGAGGGTTGTCAGCCTGCTTCATGGAAGCCCCACGTTGGTTGCATTCTACCTGAGGACTGTACTTGGTGACATTGTGATGTCACCAAGTGTGGTGTGGCTAAAGTTTTTGAAACTGTTTAAAAGACTTTAAGTCGTGCAGAGATTAAACCTCCTCCTTGCCCCACCCAAGGAAACATGAGCCTAATTTGGGTGAAGTTGGGGGTTACTTATTTTACCACTTAAAATCCTGCCAACCTCCTCAAATGAAAAAAATAGGTTCAAAAATTTCAATCCATTGAGGGGCAGGGGGGACATATGGTTATAGTTTACAGATAGTCCTTGTTTGATGACTGCCCTGTTTAGTGACCGTTTAAAGTTACGAAGGTGCTGAAAAAGTAACTTTACCACCAGTCCTCACAATTATGACCACTACAGTGTCCTGCAGTCACTTGATTGCCATTTGTGCACTTCACGGCCACAAGTTGTGGTCATGTGATGTCTTGCTTAATGACCATAGGTGATTCACTTAATGACTGCACTGGAAGTGAGACTGTAAGTCCAATACAGTCACATGTTGTTTCACTTAATGACTGCACCACTTAATGATGGAATTCCCAGTCCCAATTGTGGTAGTTAAGCGAGGACTACCTGTACTAGCTATTTTCTTTTCTTTCTACATTTCCACAATATGGCACCAATTTCTACTTAAGCGCACCAGCATCAATAAACTTGATTTTATATTGTAATTAAAACAGGGCATTTTTTCAAATACAGTTAATCAAAGTTTTATATTGATCAGAACTATTTTGAGTCCATCTTTTGAGGAGAAAACTAATTGTTGGCGGTGTCAAATGCCAAAAATAGTTTGTCAAACATTAATGAAATGAAACATATACATACTGAAGAAAGAGATTTAATATGCTAGAATGATAACATAAATAAATAATCAAGGAATTTTAAACTCTGAAGTTGAAGCAAACAACAAGAGTAAGTAAAAGGGTTGTTGGGTAGCCAGATATTCTCCTTGGCTTTGTTTCAATATGAAGTTTAATCTTAACATAATGAATGTCTGACCATAAACTTTCTGTCTGCAAATACAGCTGTAGGAAATTAACAATACAGTCTATCCCTTTGAAGGCCAAATTGGGTTATTATTTCTCATTTTAATTATTTAAGTAATTTTACTCTGTGTACAGTAACACTGGAAACTAATAATTTTCTAATAAACCACAACTTCTAGTATAAAGAATGTTTACAGAATATATGGAGGAGATAGTGATATAAAACTTTTTGAGACTAAGTTTTGGAATAAACAATTTAAATATAAAACACAAAATAGATTAGTATTTTTTTACTGCACATTGATTGGATTTAATCATTCATGGAGCAAAAATCAGAGTCATCATGATCCATATTTCTTTGAATTTATGCTTGTCATATAACTCTGATTTTACATTATTATATATAAGCAATGTAATCAAATGTCAATTCAAACTAATTAACCTAAACTAATTATTTAAAATATTGCCCTGAATTATATTGGTTATATTAAAGCCATAGCAGCAGTCCTACAGGACCTCCCAAAGAAAATTACATTTTTGTGTATCTTGTGGGAAAGTTTGAGAAAGCTGACAGGACTAGAGGCCTGAGTGTATTATAATCAGACAGGGCAAGATGGGATTCTTTGTAGCATTTAGAAATTATAACTTTAAAATAACCAAATAGAAATATCTGATTGACCTGTGGTACAGTAATCCATTCAAGAGATTAATATTAAATAGACCAAACACATTCTGGAGTAAGGAATAAAGAATCTTTTTAGGGAAAGTCCACTGAATCTGTTATTTATTATCTATTGATACGGTGAAAGAAGAACTATAAATGGACAAAGTCCACAGTGGCCAGCAGTCATGTTTGCATCTGATGTGGGGAAGAAGTAACTGCCATCATAATTGTGAGAAACTTATATCCGATTATTCAGTAGATAGTCCTTGCAAATGGATTTATACATTTTATGTTTCTACACAGAGTACACCTCTTTGTACAAAATGCAGGAGAGATGGTGCAGAAAACATGAACGCAGGCTGTGACTGGTAAGTTTTCCAGACGTAGTAAAAGTTTTTGAAGTCATCTGCTCCGAACATACCCGGTCATCATGAATATCAAACTTGAGCCTGCATTTATTTACTTATTTATTAAGTCCCCCCCTCCCTCCGCGCGTTTGAATCCATGTGACTGGGTGCCCAAAGAGCCCCCAAACAGTAAATGAGCAAACCCGTTTAAGTAACTGCTCACGAAACCATATTCCCCTCATTTTACCTTTGTCCCTACAGCCAATCCTCCGGCCGTAGAGAGGTAGAAGGCCAAGAAAGCCGGGCGGTTACTCTCCAAAAAGTCCGCCACGACGTTTTGGTTCTCTTCTTCTTCCAGAAGCTTGCTCCATTTCTCTTCTTTGAGCCTCAACAAATGGGCCAGGCGGCGGCCCACGAACTGCACCCGCTCGTCCTCCGCGAAACTTTTTTCCTGCACTGTCTCGTCTTCCTCGTCCTCCATCGTCAGCGCGAGTTTGAAAGCGGGCGACTGAAGCCCCTTCCAACAAGGCTTGTCGTCGGGGCACCCCTTCGTCTCTTACGCGGTCCTCGGGGTCCTTTCCCAACGCTTTGGGGGCTCAACGACGCAGGTCACCTGCCTCTGCTGCGCCAGCCCCCCCGCCCGAGTCTTCTTTCCCCGAGACCAGCGCAGCAGCCGCCGCCGGCTTCGCTCAGCTCCCCTTTATTGCCGCGGCGGCAGCAGCGTCCCGTTGCCCTGGGGACCAGCTAAAGTCACTCTCAGGCCACCCGCAGCCGCAGCTCAAGGGAAACAAATCACAGCTTTAGCCAATTAGGGCCACGCTTTTTTGAGGAAGGAACCACCAGCCGCAACAAAGCCGGGGGAGGATGCAGCTAAGCATTTGGCTTTTGATGGAGAGAGTGGTGAAATGCACAATGCAGTCCTATGGTGGTAGACTCAGATGCCAGCCCCCTTTGACTTCAGTGGGCTTTACTCTCAGGTCAGTGCGGCCGAATGGCCTCCTTCTTTCATGTTCAGGGTTGTTCACTGTAACATGCTTTCCCTTGCCAATACCATCTCAACCTCTGGAAGAAGGGCATGGGAGTACCCCTCTTGGTTTGGTTTGGTTTGGTTTGAATACTGGTGGTTTTAATATTTTTTATTGTACATAGATCTCTTATCTTTTGGTTGTGAGCTGCCCAGACTTTGGTACAAGATGGACGGCTGTATAAAGAAAGGAAGGAAAGAAGGAAGGAAAGAGTGAGCAAAGGAGTTTCATTTGCACACTTTCCTCTTCGGATGAAGTAGATGATAAATGATCATGCATCTTGTTTATCCTCTGAGTTCTTTACTTTCTAAGAGTAAGATCTAAGATCTTGAATTCTGGGGGCTGAAGTGGGAAAATAATTTACCAATAATTTAAAAATGGTTTGTGGGGGTGGGGAGGGGAGGGCTTTCAACACATACCTATCAACTTATACAAGCATCCGGCCTTCAAGGTGGGATTGCCATGGTCATGAAAATGAAAGGCTAATCTACATCCAGGAATCAGTAGATGCTACAAAGAATTTCACAAGTAGGTTGAGACTGAATTAACAATGTATTTCCTAAAGAAAATGGATGGTTTTAACTCCCTTCCGCACACAGTGGATACCATGAAATCTGTGCCTGTCCTCAGCTAACCCAAGTGCCATGTGACTTCAAGCCACCTTGGAAAGTCAAGCCAATCTGTTATATAAATGAATTGGCTTGGCTTCCACTTCCAAGGCTATATTGTAAGAGCAGTTACACCGTGCTTCCACTGGAGCTGCAGGGAAGAGCAGCTTCTCATTGGCATGAAGGCCTGACCTGTTTTACCTGAAATAGCCCTCTCTCCAGAAGCCAAGATGCTCTAGTGCCTTGGCTTCTTCCTCCCCATCCTATCCTGTTGGACAGAGAAGTATTATCAACAGTACTAACTTATTTTTCTTTTTTTCCCCCTTGCTATGAAATCCCAATGCAGTGAGGTGAACAGAAAAGGGAGGACAGAGTATTAATTGTCTCCTGTTTTTGGCAAGGTGGAAGCACTGGCAGGTGGAAGGAGTGGAAGCCGAGAATAATTCCTAGGTGCCCCAAGCAATGCAAAAATGAATATGATGGGATCAGTGGCCAAATGGAAGGGCCCTAAGTGTCCAAGAAATATCTATATTAGGTTTTTCAAACAAAAATGCATTGCAAAAGAGAAAATATATATTGTACAATGTGTATACAGTAAACATATTGCAAAGATGGTAATCAAAGAGAGAAAGGAACATTTAAGATTAAAAGAAGCAGAGAAAATGCTGACTGATTTTGACAGAAATAAAAAAAATATTTTGGAAGTAGTTGAAAAGGACTAAATGAAGAGCTCCAACAGGGTGAATGGAATTAAAAACAAAAGCAATAAAATGATTTGAGATAAAACTGAAGTGAAGAAATGCTGGAATGAATTTTAGAGATTTGTATGGGAATGATAGTGCTCTGTTGTAGAATACAGTGGTGCTTAGAAATCTGTGAACCCTTTTGAATTTTCAATATTTCTGCATAAATAATGATTTAAAATGTGATCTGTTCTCCACACAAGTCCTAAAACTAGAAAAAGAATTCTGTTCTTAATAAAGCAGGACCTCCCACACTCACACCTGATTATCATCTCATTGAGTGAATTTCCCCTTCAAATGAATTGATAATCCTAGAGGTTCACATACTTTTGCCACACACAAATATATAGTTTTGGATAATTTTCCTCAATAAATAAATGGACATACATAATGTTTTTGACTCATTTGTTTAATTGCATTCTCTTTACCTAGTTTTAGGACTTGTGCGGAGAACAGATCATGTTTTAAGTTATATTTATGCAAAAATATTATAAATTCAAAAGGGTTCACAAACTTTGAAACACCAGTGTAGAATTGAAACAAATGCTATACAGAGAGTCCTCAGTTAACAATAGTAATTGGGACCAGCATTTCCACCACTTAGCGACGGCAAACCCAGCACTCCCCATTGTTGTTGTTAAGCGAGGATCGCAGGTCATTAGGCGAGTCCCAGATGGGTTGCAAGTTGGCTGGCAGGCAGGTAAGGCTCAGTGCACAGTGTGAGCACAGAGGGGCTGGCTGCTGCCAGGTGGGGGAGGGTGCGAGTGACTTACTGGAGCAACTTGTGACTTTCTCTACTGGATTCCCCATTGATTTTGCTTGTGGGAAGCTGGCAGGGAAGGCCACAAATGGCGATCATGTGACCATGGGATGCTGCAATCGGTGTAAGCGTGAGCCAGTTGCCAAGCACTCAGACTGTGATTATGTGATAGTGGGGGTGCTGTGACAGCCAGAACTTGGAGGACTGGTCGTAAGTCTCCTTTTTCAGTGCCATAGTAACTCGAATGGTTGCTGAATGAATGGTCGGTAACATTTACTACCTGTAAATGTTAGTATCCAAGGAAAAAATGAAATAATAAATAATTCTGAAAAATTGTGAAGCTGCAGTAGACAGTGTAACTGGGGAAATGACAAAATATGTCTATGGTATGCTTATAATGTGATTGTATAATTTAACTTAACACTACATTTTGTCTGACAACTGGAGGAATGTTGCTATTGTTCCCTAAGACAAAAGGAAAGATAGGAAACATGAATGCAAAAACTACAGTACGGTATTGGTTTGTTAAGTGTGCCTGGGAGGTGTTTGGCAGAATTCTGATTGAAAGGATACAAAAGGTGGTAACAAGCAAAATGTGGGAAAGGCAGCATGGCTTTACCCTGGACAGGAAGTATGCAGATCATATTTTTGCTCTTCAGCAGATCATTGATAAATGTATGAATGTGAGAAAATTTATTTTATATTTGTTGATTTAGAGAAAGTATATGACATAGGCTTGAATTATGGATTATTTTGCACAATCACAGAGTTGAAGGTTGGCTGCTGAATATAGTACGAGCCTTATATGATGGAAATAAAGCATACGTGAGAATAAATGGAATACTGTATTTAGCAAGTGGCTCAAGATTGAGCAGGGAGTTAAGAAGATGTGTGGTATCTGCTTGATTGTTTAATGTATTGTATGTAATGTAATGTATGTAATGGATACATGTATAAGGAATACTTGTGATGTCAGAGGCGTGCTGGTTGAAGACATGAATGGTTAAAGATGTACTTTTGTATGCCTCAATTCAAACTTTTTTTTTTAATGGGACTGTGCAGCTGCTATGTGAACCCAAGAAAAGTCACACTATATATCTGCATGAATAGCTGCACATTCCTAATGGGGTGAACAAGTACAAGTTATACATAAATGATGACATACAAGTACAAATAAATGTTGTGTACTGTGATTGGATGTTTACTGAAGATGGTGATATGGAGACATATTAAAATGTAAAATGGTGGTAGAAAAGTAATGAGTACTATGTGGTTTGTTGCTAGGAAATTGAAAGCAAAAATGGCTTATGCTTCCCCATGCCCACTTTGTTAACCAAAGGTCAGAACTGAATATGTCAGCAAAACATAAGATGCAGAGGGAATGAGGCATTTGAGTGAATAGGTGAAGAATGAATATGGCTTCAGTATCAAATTGAGTGACCACTGAGGTAGTTTGCATAGACAGAATAAGGATCACATTGCAAAACAAATATATGAAGGAAGACCAATGTATTAAGAGGAAGGGAAAGTCCAAGGAAGTCACGCTTAGTTGGAGCTGACAAGATCCTCAGAGATGAGAAGTTTAAAGAACAAAAGACCATGTATGAATCAGTATATGGACATGATGAATGTAAGGATAGTTTGTAAATAAAGGTATGGAGAGAGAGTGGATGATGTTGGTATAAACTAGATTTAACTATAGTTTCTTTTCATTTTTTTTTTTGCCTCATGCCTTAAATTCTCTCTCTCTCTTACTCTCTTTCTGCATTTTGTATAACATTTCTTACTATGAAAGAGGATAGCATGATGGCTTATGTATGTAGATTAAGTTGAAAGATTTGTATACTTCATTGTAAACAATGTATATTTTTATATATTCCATTTTAGAGCCCTCTGCTAATAAGAAATTGTATCCATTGATGACTGTCAACTGAAAAATGGTATTTACCAATGGAATACTACTTAAGCATTCCTTTCTTTTGCCCTCTGCTCGTTCTTCATTATCTACTCCAAAGACTTAGGAGAACTAGTCAAAATACAGTGGGGCAAAAAAGTATTTAGTCAGCCACCAATTGTGCAAGTTCTCCCACTTAAAAAGATGAGAGAGGCCTGTAATTTTCA